AACCACTCTTAAAGCAGTTTCCTGTGATGAATTCTGTTCTGCAGCTTTTTTCTCCTGAGTGATTAATTTATTTAACAGACAGCTGCAGACAGCACTATTTCCCTACCACATGTGGCATTAAATATTTAATATGGCCATTTTTATCTCATCTTTTAAGATACCAATCCTTCCAATGTGGGTCATAATAAGAACTGAAGCAACAGCAGAATAAAATTTAAAACATGAACCAAAATATTATATATGATAGGATTAAGATCAAGAGAAAATGTTCATACATCTTATGGAAGAGTATGATTGGTCAAATATTGGTCACTTTCCTGGTGGATAATCAAGATAGCTACCGTTAATTGTTCTTCTACTTTTTGGAAAGTATTAAGTAGACAGTAATACAGTATTCAGACTTTCTGTACTCACAACTAATGTGAAGGCACAAGTACTTGCATCAGTTAAGCTTTTTTTTTTAAAGACTTAGGAGTGGAAATGGCATTAACTACATTTCACCAAACTATTACATATTATATGACATCCTGTATGATAGCAAGAATTTGCTACTTCTGTAGGATTCTAAGTAGAGGACATATTTAACTTTTTGAAGTCCTGATCAGAAGCCTCCCTGAAATGTATTTCAATGGTGTTGCTTACAGATTTAGAATTAGATCAGCTGCTTATTGGACTATCATCTTAATATAAACACATCTGACTGTACACCATCTTTTTCTAATATAAATTCTGGGATGGAAAGAAAGGGCAGAAAAGCTGCATTACTTGCATGTAATTGTTAAATGGATCTAAGCAGGTGGCAGCATTGGTCAAGCTTGTCTGAACTGAGAAGCTAAGTCACATTGGGATGGTTTCAATACTTAGACAGGAGTCTTCCAGTCTCTCAGAGATGTAGACTAACTGGGAGATTGAAAATATGCCAGACAAGGAAAATACCAACAATTTATTAACCCCATTAAAACTGCATGGCTAATCTAGGAAATATAATTGTGACTGAACGAAAGGAGATTCAAAGCAAACTATTTCTTTTAGAAAAAAATTGATACTAGTTCAGCCTGTCCCTGCCTCTCGCATATTGGATGGTTCACTCATTAGGAACATGTGCCCAAAACAGGCCTCCTATGAGATATGAGCAACAAATAAAAATCCAATAGTTCAACTTTTCTTTATAAGTTTCATATTTATGCTGGAAGAATCATGCACCTGTTGTTTTTGCTTATCACTTAACTTTTTATAGCGCTGCTTTTGTCCATAAGTAATAGCAACCAAAATTAGGAGGGGTCATATTTGCTGACTGCTGACTTTTTTCAAAATCACAGCTGATCTTTTTATTGTCTGGTTGTTTTCAATGCAGCATTTGACTTATAGACAGAGGGCTTGAAGCCTATACTAGGGCTATTTGTTTTGCCAGGGTTTTTTTTCAGAGCATGGGAGAAATATTATCTAGAATGTACACTTATCGTGTCCCAATACATGACTTCTGACTATGGCATTTGCTATCTAAGTGTGTTGCTAGAACCTGTTGTGTGGGAAACAGCAAAATTATCTTAGTGGTATATCTCTTCTCAAACTTAAATATGATTTTTCTGTGAAGATTATCTTCTCTCTACAGGTACTGAGCTGACATTCCTGTCAGTGTTTTTACACAGGGCAGGGAGGCTACAGAAAGTCTGACATCTCATGCATTAAGCAGTTGTCTTTTTTTTTTTGTTAAAGTTACATTCTTTGTCCATTCAACATGTTGCTCAACATTACAATTTTTAATGATTATCATAGTATTTTATGTCTTACTGGGAGCCAAGATAATCAGTTCTTGTCACAGCTGGTGCACTAGTAGTTGAACTATGCAGAAATTATAGGATTTTAAGGGTTGTTGCAAAGTTCTGTACCCCCTCCAAAGAGGTCTGGTGTTCTTAGCTTAGCTGCAGCCTGATATAGTAAGAACTGACTTCATGCTGTGCCAGCATAATAACAGGAAGGGCAGCTGCTGTATTAGTACTACCTAAGGACAACCAGCTCAGGGGAGCATCAATTAGAGAGAAAAAAGGAGCAATTGTCTCTCTTTTGTTCCAGACCAAACATTGATCAAGCAAACATGCACTTTTCTATTATTTTCAAATATAAGAATCACAGTTTTCAAAATACAGTAATAGGTTTCTTGTAATTGAATATATCAAACAGCAGTCTGGGGAGCTTGCTGGGTTTCTTTTTGTTTTATTTTTTTTCTTTTTCCCCTTCCCTTTTTACAATTAAAGTGTCAGCTCTGGGCATGTGAGAATTGAGTTATGTGAGCATCCAGATTGGTATTTTTTTTCCAAAGACTAGGAATACATAGGTTTAGAAATGGTAAAATAAATAGCAGAGGTGTTTATAAAGCATTGATCCTAACAGCCCACAGGAAGAGATGAAAATGGCCCAGATTTCAAAGGAATCAACGTTTAAATTGTTGAATAAAATGGAAAAATACCACAAGTATATCAATGTTATTTTCCCCAGAAACTGCATTATACCCTTCAACTACATTCAACTACATTCCCCCAGAACTGGTGTTAATTTCTCTCTTCCCAGGTCAAACTTCTCCAGGAGGCATCTGAACATACACAGCGTTTTTCAAGGAACCTCAGGGTTTGCTGTCACATGTAGGTCAGGCAGCTGTCAGATAGGTCAAGGGCTGGCATTCAAAGCAATTTGAATCCCATTACAGTACTCCCTCCTGGTTTAAAATCTGCCTAGCTGCTAACAAAAAAACGCGTTGAGGCCCTGAATCACAGCATCTGCCCTAGAGACTATCTTCTTCCTCTCTTAAGCTCCCGCGCTCCCTACTTCTTCAATTCTTGCCTGTTTCTGAGGCAATTGCCGCCACTTAAACGATGGCGAGGAAGGGGTGAAAATTGCTCTTAGCTAGCAGCAGACCGCCCGCCAGCTCGCTCTCGAAAGTGGAGCAGCGAAGGCAGGCGCTGAAACGTGCCACTGGGACCAGCCCAGTTCTTGGGGTGGGCTGGAGGAGCGGAGACTGCAATGCGCGTCGCCTGACTCCCAACAGTACAGCACCGTCAGCGCTGAGCCACGGAGCTTCGCTGCAGGCCGCTCCTGCCCATTGATTGGCTTTCGCGGAAAGAGCCTGAATCAGCGGATCTGGCGGCGGGGAAACGGAGAGCAGCTGGGGACGCGGGGGAAACGGACGCCAGCTCCAGATCCTTCAGCGGGAAGGCGGAATGGGCGAAGGCGACTCGGGTCCAAACGCGTGTTTAGCTCCTCAGACTCCCCCCTCCCAGCCTTCCAGGTGGTCCCGAGGCAGGAGGAAACTACCTTGTGCTCTTGGAAAGTCATAAAAAGAGGCGGCCGGGGAATGGGTGGATTTATAACGCAGGCCTGGAATCCTGCTTTTGCAAGAATGCAAGGCACCGTTGCCTTTTATATATTAAAGCCGTTGAAACGAAAGGAGTAAGAGGAGAGCGCGTTCATCCCTGAAACCTTTTATATCCAGTTATAGCAGCGGTTTGAGCTTTCATGGAGTAACAGAATCTGCATCCTCGGTAGATTCCCACTCCTTTTCTTATTTTTGAGGCTTTTCTTAATTCCCTTGTCGCCCATACAGGCTTTCACACAGAAAGTAGTCTGTACAACTCATTCCACAAAGAAATGGCCAGCAGATCAAAAAACACTGCTTTATCATCTGCCCTCCCACTCTTACCAAGACTGGTAAGAAACTTAAAAATATTTTTTAGTTTTCAAACTTCAAAACCTGAAGCTCTAGAAGGTAATGACCCTTTGTTCCCTCACATTTTGTAACGAATTGCCTTCATCTAAGAAAATAATATATACTTAAGCACATTAATCTTAACCAAAAAAACAACCCCACGTTAGCTTGATTGAAATGCAATGCAGAGAAATTACTGGAAAGTATTAATGCAGCACATACGTGTTCTAATATGGATGTAATACAGTTGTACATCTCATGCAATTGGAAATAACCATGCATTCATCTTGAGATGTGTTATACTGTCTTAGCAGACAGAAAGGCCTGGTCTCCAAATGATTGGGGGTAGATTTGTGAGTGTTCATAAAGAGGAATTGGGAGAGGAGTGGATATGTCCATTTAGCACATCTGTTCCCAAAACCTCTTGATTCAGACCACATCAGTCTTCTGACCACAATGCAATCCATTAAGGCAACAGCATGGTTGACCCCAAAAATGTCATTTATGCAATTGCTTAAGTGATGCTGTTGCAAGATTATTTGTGCCGCTCACTTCAGCAGTCTTTCCATATTTCAGATTTTGCATAACACCCCTCTGAGGAAGGGAGAAATCTAGAGAGTATTTCTATTAAGTTTATTGTTTAGTGATCTTGAATTCTCCAAATTAGAAGACAAATAACTGATCTTTTTTGCTGGCACATCTATTTAATAAAGAAAATTTCTATATTAGCCAACTAAGGAACAAGGAATCCTAATAAAAGGAGCTGTAAAGCCAAGCAAAAGAAGCAAAAGTAACGGCATAACAGGTGGGAAAGTTGAGAAACACCTGTATAGCAAGAGCAGTTATTAGGTATTTAACCTATTTTCAACACATTGGGAGGAACTTCAACAAGTCACTCCCCTTTGTTTAGCTTGCTTAGCTTGTGAGAAAGACTTTGCATAGTTTTCCTTGGGTTTGCAAAGTTGTGTTTGTGGGCCAATCCAAATGATTACTCTTTACTCACAGTTGCAGGGAGAATACCAGAGAGAGAAGCTGGACGGACCTTAAGTTAATATTGCAAACCATGCTGATTGATAAAAGAAACTATCATACAACAATAAGCCACATTAATAATATAAGGATTTTTAAATGTACAAGCAGATCTCTGCTACACTCACTGAGAGTTGTAACAAAATTAATAGTAAATTTATTGATTTCACCTACTGTTTCTGTCAAGCTATTTTTATTTATATACCTCATTTAGTGAACACATGCTTTGTCTTGTCATATTCGTCTTCACTTAACTATGTAAGGCAGGCTGTTGTTATTTATATTTTACAAGAGCAGTGAAATCAATCTAAAGTAAGCCATATTAAACTGAACCAAAATTTCTCAAGATTAAAAAACAAAACCATAACACTATTTATAAGGGCAGAATGGCCAAAAACATGATCTTGCAAAGTAAAAATTGCCCAGTTGAAAACTCCTTTCAGCTATGAATTAACTATATAGCCTTAAGGAAGCCATTAAATCTGTGTTTTTTCTTGACAATCTATGAAAAATAATCAATTTCATAAAGTTGAAAGAAGTACTAAGACAGAATATTCTAATATAATAGCACTGCGGGCCAGGTATTTTCCTCATTATGTATCCATTATGGTGGATGTATGAGTTATAACTCCTTATTCAAATTAATTGCCTTTATTGTATTTCCTCTTTTTTCCCTTTCTTATATGCTAGCGCTTCTGAATTAGAAAAGAAACAAATTTTAAATTATTCTAGCATGGATCCTATAAATAATTCACTGGAGGTGGGAAAGAGGAGCAAGTTTTAAATGTTAATGGCAATCATTGTATATGAAATAACTCATGTTAGAACCATGAATGGATTGTATATTAATCTTATGGATTAAGCCTCTGGTAATGATCTCAGGTAGAGGTTAGTGGAGCTATTTAAATGGACAAATGTTTAGTTTATTGCCACAGCAGAAGTGATCTAACTGATAGCTGAATATAATATCCTATTTTTAAAAAAATATTAGAAATGAAGCAATGGATAATGTTTTAAAATCATATTGGGAAAGAGAGCTTAACCTTTTTCTTCCCTATCAATTTCACAAATCAATCCAAAAATGATTAAAACACATGTTACTGATAAAATTTGTAAACAATTGCATGATATTTACATGCCTTGCTCACAGGATCAACAGCAGTGCCAAAAGTGATTTTTCATTAGAAAACAGAGAACAAAGAGAACAATGCAAGAATATCTTGTCCTAGTGCCATAGACTCTGATCTGAATTTCCTGTTCTTCGTGATTGCTAATATTTTAAAAACAATTTGGAACATGCTATTTCTAATTTTATCTATTTAATTTTTAATTTATAGAAATGAGCATACATCACAAAGAACGGTGGAAGCTCAGCAGTATGACCCAGTTAGTATTTCCAGATCTAAATTGCGATTCTGTTATTCCAGGCAAAAATGAGAAAGAGGCATGTCTACCAATCCCAGCTACACCATATTGAACTAGATTTATAGCAATAGCACTTAGACTTATATACCACTTTACAATGCTTTACAACCCGCTCTAAGCAGTTTACAGAGTCAGCATGTTGCCCCCAACAATTTGGGTCCTCATTTTACCCACCTTGGAAGGAGGGAAGGCTGAACCTGGTGAGATTTGAACTGCCAAATTGCAGGCAGCCAGCAATCAGCAGAAGTAGCCTGCAGTACTGCACTCTAACCACTGTGCCACTGCGGTTCATAATGTATTAGATTTATGTATGAGAATTAGTATTTCTAGATGTTCTGCCAGTTACTAAAACTCTTAGAAATCATCATCTCACCCATTCCTTAATTATTTCAATTAGAATATAATTGGAATAAAATAAATTCGTATCATCTGTATGACAGTGACTTCATCAGGTAGATAGTGACAAACATTGAATAGCCCTTGAGCGGCAAAACCTAGCAAAAAGCTCCATTGTTACATCAGAAAAAGATCAGATTCTGTGAGACTCAACCCAGTGCAGAGCAAAATTCAAACTTTCCTGAATTTCACAAGATATTTCCATCCTTCCCTCCTGAACAACTTTTTTGAATAGCCAACAAAAAAAAAAAAGCCCAAGAAAATTCCAAACAGGACTGCATGATTATATTAGACAATGTATAATCTTGTTCTATTTAGTAACATTTTACCTTGATCATATAGGGTAAGGGAAGTATCATCTAAATTGGTTTGGAACTTGAATTCTACTTACATACTTGTCTTACTTACATACCATTACTTTGGTAAAAGTAGAGTTAAAGCCCCTTAAGATCAAGTTGAACAAAACAATTTCAAAAAATATGCTGAAAATGCAGAAACAAATGCCAATTCAACAGTATTCAGAACACTGGGAGGAAGAGATCGAAGTTAGCAAACTGCATTGTACAGATCCTAATACAAGGTTATTTCATTCATGGATGAAATAAAGATTTACCTGAGAAATCTTCCGAAGTCCTTTCTAAATAATAGGCAACACTTTTGTAGTACCTTGGCCTGCTCTTCTGACTGAAATTTGACCCTTTTCCTATTCTATCCATTGCTCTATCACTTGGCTATTTAATTTTGGGGACATTTAACAGTATGACTGTTTTGCTGATACAGCTATTCTATATTCTTAAATCCCAATTAACCCTCATCTCTGGCAAGGTAAGTAGGGAGCATCACTTGTCTGTAAGTTTTATCATTTAAAATTTCCCAATATTTTATGTCTCTAGCAAAGAGAAGCTTTTACTTTTGCAAACTATATTGATTTAATCCTAGAGGCAACTGGCAGTAGTCCCAGGAGCTTAATCAATATAGCAGAATTCTACAGCATCTTGCAGCAAACAGCTGTCTCCCTCCCTTTTGAAATGCTTCTCAGTCTAAGAATATGTCTTTAAAAGACTGGATAACAGAGTCATACTGTTACATGAACAAACGGCTCCTGAAACCCAATTGGCACAAACAAATGACACAAGAAGGATGCCAAAAATATGACAAATCCATAGAGATGTGTTTTATCAGTTGCTGTTAATCATGATAATTCAAGTGGTG